GCGTGAGGAATTGTGATGATTTTCCCAATGCTCTAACTGGTTTTGAACCAGTTAACTACATGGACATTCTTGATGGTACACTCAGTACAGACTATTTGGTTTGTAAGTAACATGATTCCGGTGCTTTCATTTAATATATGAATGTATAGTCAGATGATATAACTCATATCTTTTTGTCTCAGATGTCATAGGTCAGATTTTTGAGGTAACTCCTATTGAAATGGTATCAGCTAATGGTAAAGAAACTCATAAACTTATGGTGGAGCTTCGTAATGAAAAGTATGGCTCTCTTTATATTGTATGATTATTCATGATAACAGACGTGATGACAATGATCTAAGATATACATGTTTGTATATTATTTTAGGGATGAACGTCTGCCTCTGGTGTTGTGGGGTACCTTTGCAACTGATATAAGTGATGGCACTGAAGAACATGGTGAGAATTCTTAGATCTAATCAATACACTTGATTTAATGTTTTCTTATCTTCAAATGCTCTGTAATAGTCTCCCAAGCAAACTAATGCACTTATCTTTCCCGAATTGTGTTCTATTCCTAGATACATCATTTTAGGGGTATTCTTATTTGGGACAAAAAGATGTAAATATTTTCTGAAAAGCAAACCATTACTATACTTAAGGACGATAATATTCATCTACTAAGAAAGTAAATTTATGAATAAAAAATGGAATATATAGGAGATTTTAATCATATGCATTTAGGAATTATATACAAAAAAACTGCCTATTACGATCTGACCAATATATCGACTATATATCTTACTAAATCTCTTTTAATGTTTAGAAGAAACCTATATATATATATATATATATATATATATATATATATATATATATATATATATATATATATATATGTACTTTACGCTAAGCATCCTAACTAAACCTAAAAACACACATAATAGAAGAATCTCTTACATTGTTTGCGTGATGGTTAACTTCATCTCTTTGAGTGAGTTGAATACTAAGATTCAATTCCCTGCAATCGGTGTTAAGATCGTTAGAAAACGGAGTACGAAAATTGGAAGAGATCATCTTTCAACCATGCTCTTAGGAGATTCGAAAGTAAGTTATCTTATATTTTAATGAATGTCTTATAAATCACATTTATACTAAATTCTGAACTCACTAGTTGTTTTAAACAGGGAGTAACAATTGAAGGGAGCTTAAGCTATTCTTTGTCTCTACCTAACGAGATTGAGCTCAAAGAAGGTGATTGGGTTGAGATACTCAATTTTGAGATAAGAAGGGTTTTTCAGCTTCATAGAACCACAAAGCACAAGTACACAATCAAGTTCAATGAAGCGAGTTTGTTTAGAAAGATAGAACCAGTGAACGGTTCTAAATTTCTATGCTGTGCAAACTTCCGTCGTATCAATCGGGGTCTTTATCATCCTATGTACTGCATTGGTATGTTAAGTATGCTTTACCCTTTCTTAGATTGTTAATTAATGGTACTAAAATCTGAAACAATTTTTTCTTATGTAGATCTATGTGGAGCATTGGTCCATGTAGGAGATCTTATAGTTAATA